CACCCCTCTGGACATCTGCTTTCTGTTCTCGTTGAGCTCGTTGCCACTCAACGCTCGCTCAGTTTGGAGAAACATTCTGGTGGCGTCGGCACGTTCTGCAGGAATGCCCCCGACTTAAGCCTGCCATTACCGCTCATACATCAACTATAGACTTCTCATTAGGGGACCCGTTCAGTCAGGATATTTAAAAAAATGAGCAACAGCAGAGCTCAGTTTTCAGGACTAAGCATTTTAAACATGAATAAGATAAATCATACTTGTGATAGTAATTGAATCACTCCTTTTAATACTCATTGAACTTTTTAAAATTTAAAACTTTAAACCTTGCTGAATTTAATTGACCTTCTATGTTAAACACCAACACAAAGCAGTGGGTGGCTGAAATGATATAAACACAAAAATGATCCTGTGCCCTGGTATTCGTCCCCACTTTACACTGAAGGCCCTAATTAAAATCAATAAAAAAGCAGTTTACTCAAGGTATCAGTACTCTATTTCTATAGCATAACACCTCAAGCTCAGACATATTGAGTCAAGAGCATTCATGAACATTTTTGAAGTCTTGTCACAGATTCTTAATCTGGATTTTCACTGGGCTATTCTGACACATTAACTGACTTTCATCCAAACCAATGTGTTTTACCTCTGACTATGTTTAAGTTTGTTGTTGTTGAAGCTCTGTCCAACAGTCAAGTCTTTGTCAGCCTTTACTTATTAAAGCTTTTCTTCCAGGATTGTCCTTTATTGAGCTCCGTCACATCATCTTAAAACAGCTTCGCTGACACTGCCAGAAAAAAAAAAGTTTCTCTGCAGCATGATGCTGCCGCCACAACGGCTCACAGCAGAGATGATGTGTAAAAAGTGAAAAAAAAAAAAAAAAAAAAGCTTCAGTGCTGGGAATACTTTTCCAAGAAACTAAAATAATGCCAAATCTCACAAGGTGTAGATGAAAGGGCAGGTAAGGTGCTAAATTTTAAAAAATTGTGTATATTTGAATCTGCTATGAGTATTTACACAGTATCAACATGGATAAATGTTTCTGTCTATCTGAAGACCCAGGATTATATTTCACTCACAGCAGAGTGGAGGCAAATTTAATGAAACTGAACATGACAAGAGCCGGAAGCACAGGTTAAAGGATTTAACTCGAGCGCCGAGGGATTCAGACGTTTATTAAAGGTCAATACGTTGCACCGGAAACCTCGGCGGGATTGCATTGATCTTATTTTCATCTTAACAATCTAGAATAGAGATTTTAAAATCCTTTATTCTAACAATATTAAGGTATATTTAGTTTAATTTGGAAAGACAACTTGTAGCCGTGGAAATGCACAAGATTTCTCCTTCAGAAAGTGTCGGATGCGACGCTACTTAGCAGAGTTTGTGCCTTGCTGTGGTGAGGAGACGTCACAAATGGGAACAGGTGGCACGGCTTGGGCAGCCAGTGCTCCCCCACGGCCAGAAATAGACTCACAATGGGTCAAAAGATGGACAGAGAAGGAGGAGGCAGAATGACTGCTGCCTATTTTAAGGTCCCCACTGTCAGTATGGAGACGCAGAGACATCAATGTCCCACAAACCTGGCGGTGTAATACGCAAAACAGAACAGACCAGGGAGATTTCTTGCTTCTTGTTGTACTTATTTGAAGCAAATTAAAGAGATAGCTCTGAATTTTTAAGGTAAGTTTTATATTAAGATTTTGTGAGCAGTAGATAAGTCTCAATATGACTCTCTGCAGTTAGTTGAAGCCGGAGTAACCTCAAGACCAAACTGGACAAGTGGTCCAAATCCTTATGAAACATACAGAAACAAAGAGCATATCAAGCTTTTCTGGTTTATCTGATAGTGAGATTCGTTAAGTAAAAGAAATCATTTCCTCCAAATTATTTTGAGGAAATTATTACTGGATTGGGGTTTTTTAAAGATGTTACAAGATCATGCTAGTCTTGGCCCCTCTTGTGTATTTTCTACCACTACGAATGCAAGTAGAGCTGTTGCATTTTGCTTTCTATATATATATATAAAAAAAGCATTAGCTCTAGGGGTTGCACAAAGAAAGAATGTGAGCTCAGAGGGTAAATCACTTCATGCTGGGGAGCTCCTGCAAAATGTTTCACTGTCAGAAAAGCACCAAGGTACATTTGGTGGCCTTGGGACTTAGGTGCTACTCTAAGAAGTGTTGTAAGGTCATTTACTGCATCTGTTCTTGTCCTCCTTCTACTACAGCGAGGGATGTCCCAGACATGCCACATGCAATTAGAGGGACTCACATATCACTTGGAGACTGCTTTAACTTTCAACGTCTTTCCTGGATAGATAGTGTTACCTCCAGCTATAAAAACACCACTTAGGAGTTATAAAGGCCAGTAAATGTCAGTAATAATATGACATGTGCAATAAATGTTTAACACTAAATGCTTCTCAATTTTTCCTCAAAACTTTCAGTACTTTCAGCTTTCTGATTTTGGTCCACCTGGCAAAAATGATGGATTCCGACTGTTACATTGTTGTTATTATATTGTCACCATTTAACAGATGCACTATGTATGTTTGACATCAGACATACAACGCAGCTTGGTTTATTTCCCTGCGCCATCAAATTCATCCTATCACATAACCACATCCTTGCTTTTTCATTTAGAAATATGCAACCTACTTTAAAAGTGAGTATTGATCTAAATTGGAAAAAAATATGATAAAAAGATAAAATCAGATGAAGACAAATTAAAACTTGATCACATGCACACAAAGACACGTTGGGTTAGTACTTTTAGACCAGGTTCTGGGTAGGATGCGTGTTATTAATCAAAGATTTAATCAAATATTGGGTTAAAAACAGAGACGCAGTTTGTTCGCTCAGACAAGAAACCAGAAAGGGCCTTATTGTCCTTTACAGATGGCCAATTGAACTATAAAGCAACCCGACCAGACTTTACCTGAAACTCTTCCACAGCATGAAACAAGACATAAAACAAGGCTGTGTAACAACATTGATCTCAGTTCACATAGAGAACATATTTATATCCCTTTGAGACTTGCCTTTTAGCTGCAAAGTGCTTCGCGAAAGCTAGGGCTAGCTTGGCTCCGTCAATGAAGTCAATATAAACAGGCAATATTTATTTTAGTGGTTTATGCCAAATGTGACTTTTACAATCTAAATTCAGGTGTTTTTCAATAACTTTCTTACTAGACATTATCCAGCTTTGGTGGTAGATTCTTGATCCGAATTTTTTTTTTAACACAGAATAAGTCAAAAATAATAATAAATAATAATTTCTGTGTTACTTGTTACGTATTCCAAGTTCCAGGTAATTTTTTAAATAAACCCACTCCTTGGTAGCCTAAATAATAATAATAATAATAATAATAATAATAATAATAATCACCTTGACACATATTTTTGGCAGAAACGCTAAACCCATTTTGTGGAGTAAAATCCCTAATGTGTGTGTAGGTCGTTAGCAGCATTACTCCAATTGGGTTGTTTTTAAAATACCAGCTTTTAGAGTGATAAACTTGGCCCACTGTAAAGTTTGGTGGAGGTAACATCATGCTGAGGGGTTGTTCCACTATATCAGGTATTGGTTAGCAATGTGTCAGCAGACAAAAAGCAACAAAAAAAAAAAAACTTCCCACCACCACAAGCTTTCTTTAAAAAGATGATGGTGTTTGTGCTCCATCAACCGGATCTGTGTTCATCAGTATGTTTTTACCTTGAAGATTACAACATACAGACACATTTTCCTCCAAAATTTTTTGAGTACATCATTCGCTATTTTGGTTGTGTAATGTGTGTGTACTGAAAAAAAAAAAAAAAAAAGATGGTAAATCTGTCTTTGGCTGATGATTCTCTTAAACGTTTATATTGTATAAAGTGGTGAATTCAGATTCCGAGGAACCAAAAACACACCTGTGGGGGGGGGTCTGTAGAGACAGGCTCCCCACAGTTTAACCCCTCCTGCATGGAGAATGCATGTCCCTAAAAGGCCAGTTGCTGGGAATAAATTGCGATTGTGACAGTGCAGAGTGACAGCAGCTGCACAGCATATCTAAAGCGGACCATGATGCAAAAGGGGAGGGAGGGAAGAACTGTGGCGGACAGTGTTGGGTTTCAGGAGGTCTTCCAATCTTAGGCACCTGACAAGCCTGGAATATAGAAGCCTGGTTACAGACTGTGGAGGGAGAAACGGCACCCCAAGGACGGGCAGGGGTGACAGACAAGGGTAACAATAACTCCACCAGCGGAGACCGGGAGGCAGGGCCGCGGGTTTAGAAAGTGAGCCAAGGCATCAGAGCTACTGAACAAGAAATTATCTTTACTTTGTTCCGCATTGTCTAGCTTAGGACAATATTTATGATTTGAAAAAAAAAAATAAAAAATTCACCCAACAAGTAGACTCTTCAATGCATAACCTAATTTTTAAGGAATGAAGTGAGGAGAATGATTCAGTGTCTATTAAAGGTCCCCACACGGCCGCTCCGCTCTCCTTAGTTAGACTAAGACTTTCCATCAGCTGGTGCCATGCCTTTGGACAGCTGACATGCAGTCAGGCCACAGCAGAGTCTAAATACTCCTCATTGTCCCTCCTTCAAAATCGTAAATCAGACTTTCGCTTTAGACAATTTATTAAACTATGGCTTAGTGGTGAATTAACGTGAGCTAACTTACAAACGGGGCAGCGTCTCTGTAGGTTTTCATTCTATCTCGGGTTCAGTTCAGCTTCTCATTTTACCTTCTGTAAACTTTAGTCACAACAACCGCTAAAACTTACAGATGTCCATCGAATTCATCCACCAAAAAGCAGTAAGGAATAATTTTATGACATACCAGAAATGCACCATCAGATTCAAAACAGGATCTTTATCTACGAGAGCGTCCGATTCTTACCTGCTGTGGCCTGCAAAAGCAGCAGGGTGAGGAGACAGCAAATCGAGACAGTACCCTTCATGATGGCTGCCAGGAGAACTGTGATAGCCTCACAGACTATATATACCAAGGCAGGAAGGTTAAAGTGCATGCAGAAGGAAGAGGTGGGGCAAAGAGACTGCCCCACTCCTGCCATGACTGGTGAAGGGGCAGATACCCATGTGTTTTAGGAGCACCACAGAGACTCTTTATGAAGAAACTGGCTTTGTGTTTTTTACTTTCACATCAGGTTTTTTTTTCTCACGCGTATCTTCATATTTGGTGAAGAAATGTCAGAAACCTTCAAAATAAATACATATTTTACAGCACTATATTGAGTATTTCATAAGTGGAAAAATAAAATCCAAACCTAAATCATCCAGAAATAAATTAAGTGAAGCATTAGTTTATATCTCGCTTTTCAAATAGATCAGAGTTACTTTGAACTTTTAATTTGCAATCCAGGACTTGGAAAAAAACTACAACTTGCCAGATAGATGTGTGATTGTTTACATAAGTATAGGAAGGAACATAAAAATGGGCTGCACAGTGGTGCAGTTGGTAGAGCTGTTGCCGTGCAGCAAGAAGGTTCTGGGTTCGATTCCCGGCCCTGGTCTTTCTGCATGGAGTTTGCATGTTCTCCCTGTGCATGGTGGGTTTTCTCCAGGTACTCCGGTTTCCTCCCACAGTCCAAAAACATGTTGGGTTAATTGGCCTCTCCAAATTTCCTCTAGGTGTGAGTGTGTGTGCATGGTTGTTTGTCTCTGTGTTGCCCTGTGACAGACTGGTGACCTGTCCAGGGTGAACCCCACCTCTGACCCCGAACATTAGCTGGAGATAGGCACCAGCAACCCTCCTGACCCCACTGAGGGACAAGGGTGTTAGAAAATGGATGGATGGGTTATAAAAATTAGCACACAGCTGTGTAACTGCTGGTTCATCAACAGGACCTTTGCTGCATGCAATGCCCAGTTAACCAGGACTCCCTCGCAGAAGAGTGATATATTGCATATTATTTTAAATGCACTTAGAAGCTGAAAAATAATACTTTTTTTTCCGAGATTAAAACAGAATACATACACTTTGCCTTAATCAAGTGACTAAAACGGCTTTAACAACATCGTCCACAAACTTAAATATCAGAGATTGGGCTCCTGGCTGTGTTAATGTCCTCAAACATCCACGCTACACTCACTCTGTTGGCATCTCAGTGAAAGTAATCACCATCAGCAGAGCGAGAGCTGAGAAGAATCTGCCTGAGTCAGCCTCGACTCCCTCACACAGCCTGACTCTGGGCGGATTACCGCTGTATCGTCCTCGCACAGACACAAAGTGGCAAACCTAATCTCGCCATTCCTCGGGAATCAACATCTTAACTGTAAATTAATCCTCAAACGTGGCAGGAAGTTTCTCTCTTTGACCACGTCCATCCCGAATGAGTCGTGTCCAAGCAACACGGCATGATCATTTTGAACTTTCTGGAGGATGGTTCTTAAAGGCAAGATGGCTTTTATGGACTCTAGACAACATGAGCTTTTCACTTAAATACACATGACAAACACGAGCATTAATTATGCAGACTTTAACTTAATAGTAGCCCATAAGCCACTGTCAAGAAGTTAAGAGACATCAAGATATTACATAAGGAGTTGGTCCCTCCAGATGTGTGGTCCCTACACAATAAGAAGGCCACTATTTTCAGTCGTCCACACAGAACAGTCAACCAGTTATTGATGTATACAAATAATTAAATGAAGTTTATACTCTTAAAATTTAATATTTATTTCAACAATTTTTTTTTTCAGAAAGTGTAGTTTTCACTCATTTCTGTTTGTTTAGACGATTATAGTTTACACCTAAGCAAATATATATATATATATATATATATATATATATAATATAAAAAACTTTTCTGAAACAGTTTTTCAGAAAAGTTACTAAATTACATAAGAGCATCAAAGAGCTGATTTATTCTCCCACACTTTTCATTTTATTTTCAAATACAGAAATGTAATTTTATGACCCATGCGATTATGAGAGGGCAACCTCCACAAGGGGGAGGCAAGTCCCAACATGTCATTCATTACCAGTCATTTAATAGTTAATGGAAATTGCTAAACAAAAAAACAGATCCCTCCTGTTATTTTTCTTATAGGTTCCCAATAGATGCAGCACACAATCATAGCAATTATGAAACAATAATGCTTTAAAATTACTTCTGCATCACATTGAGAAACATATCAAAAATATATTTTGAGATATTTGTCACAGCATTTTTGACATATCAAATGCTTTATTTGTAATAAAGCATCGCTGCTGCTGCTGCTCTTTTAGAGACTGTTTGTCTGAAGACAAGTTAAAATAACTAAATCATTTAGTATAATAACTTGTGGCATCTATGGGGAACGCGGAGCTTTGAGTGGTTCAATGCATCTCAGGAAATGACAAAAGATGCCACCCACTGTCCCTGGTGTGCATGGTCGCTGTCACAGAGAGAAAGTGGTCGCTCTTAATTTAGCTGCTGTAAAGAGAGGGAGGGTCTGGAGGGGGTTCTTCCACAGCCCATCCACCAATCGGCTGCAAACACTTGGGCTTCACGGCCCAAACGGCCACCAACGAGAACTGGCAGCGAGACAAACAGAACTATTCATGTCACTGCTGGTGCTGTAATAAAAAGAAAACACACACACGAGCCAAATGTTTAAAAAACAAAGTACAAACTTTATTATTCTGTCTTTACAAAGGCACAAGCCTCTTTATCCCCGAAACATAAAAAAAACAACAAAAAAAAAACAAACGTAATAGCTTCTTGATGACCATGTGCACAGACTGGTCTAACAAAGTTAACAAAAAAAACAAAAAAAACTGAATGGAAAAAATAAAAACAACAGGGAAGGAACTGAGCCGCAAAAAAAAAACAAAAGAAAAAGATAAAATACATAAAATGACAGGATAAAAGATGCAAGAAGATGTGAAAGGTAAACTGGTAAATGTAGGAGGACTGACATGGAGGGGTGGGGGATACACAGCTGTGCGGTTTTTTTTTTAACTCATAACCTCAAGAGCTTCAGCTGAGGAGATCCTCCTTTACACATAAAAAAAGAGGCAAACTCCAGTATATTACAGTAAGTGCTTCGTAATCTTCACCCTATTTAGTGATCCTTAGTCCCTCCCCCGCTAATCTGACAATCTGATATGCCCATAGAATGACTTTGTAACACAAAACACAGAATAAAGACAGACACAATGGAGAGCAACCAGTTCTGGGATTCAGCAGGAAAAACTTTCCAATGCATACTGGGAGGAACCAAAAAAAGAAAAAAAAACCTCAGTTTTCCAGCGACCCTCCTCTTCTTCCTATAACAATAACTGACACACCTGACATCAACAGGTTTAAAGGGGAATTCCCAAACCTCGTCAATAATCGTGACGAGGAGCGTTGGGGGTTTAACGCGCAGTCTGTCCAGCAGTTCAAAGCTCAAACAGTCGACTCTAAATGCTGAGATGAGCCGAAAGTCCTAACTGTGATTTGGTTTTTCTGCAGGATCTCAGGAAACCTTTGATACGGTCTTATGGAATGTCTTATTATGGGGGGTTTTTACCCCACCCCCACGTATTTCACACCAAGGGGCCTCGAACTTTCAAATCTAGACATGCAGTGCTTTGCAAAAGTGTTCGCAACCCTTTAAACTGTTTCACACCACACAGGCATTTAGTTAGGACTAGTACACAACTGTCGAGAAAGGAAAAACATGCATGGTTTTAATGGGGCTTTTTGCATGCTTTGTAAACCACACGTGTGCAAATTTGGGCTTACAAAAAAAAAAAAAAAAAAACTACAAGAAGTCAGCCATTGCGTAAAAACAAGTCATGAATGTAGAAGAAGGTGCTTCAGTCAGATGAGATGAGAACTGGCCTGCATGCAAATCAATAAGTGGCAGAAAACACACACTGCACATGACCCCCCCCCCAACACAAAGTTCCCCTGGTTCAAACAAGGTAGTGGCAGCATCATGTAGAGGGGAAACTTTTCTCAACTGATGGGAGATGGAATTAGCCAAATTGTGCCTAGAAGAAAAACCGTGAGAGGCTGAAAATCCAGAGCTCCAATGAAATGATTTAGATCAAAACACATGCATGGTAGATCAGCCTAGTCAAAGTCTGCGGCAAACTCACACTTTCGCAACCTGGTAAACAAACCATCACCGCTACGAAGCATGGTAGCAGCAGGATTATGCTGTGGGAATGTTTTTTGGTTTTTTTAAATAAATAGAGCAAAACATATGAAAGAACAACTTGCTTGATGATATTTTTGTCTTCCAGTTCACCATCATGCACTACCTTATGTAGACTTATCTTATGAAATCAAAAGAATAATATTAATGTGAAACAATTGAAGAAAAGTTAAAAGGTTTTGGATACTTTTGCAAGGCACTGTACAATTTTTGCATTAATATACCGCTAGTATAGTTTGTAAACTTCCAACATGTTTCATTCTGGGGCAAACATAATAAAAGAAACCCAAAAATAACTAAATAACTGGGAATATATATTTAATGACATCTGCCTGGTGGTTACAAGCCTGATCGAAGAGGTGAAAATCAGCTGCCCCCCAAATGAAAGGTGTCCAGATTGTTCTCTGAAGCTGTGTGAAGGAATGGCCTCCCTGCAGCCAACACTAAGGGCTCGTAATAAGGCAAGCTGTAACCTCTCGTCGCTACAAGTCGCCCAGTCGTTACATTTAAAAGTGAAACAGAAAACGCACGAAAAAGGACAGATATTGGGAAATGCATAGAGCATATGTAGTAAATTCAGTCGCCGCCGTGAATGGCGCACTAGCGAGTTCTCTGGGCGTTCTTCCTCAAATGTCACCATAATCCTCCCATGTTCCAAAAGGCGGAACATGGGAGGAACAACAAAACGGGCTCTCTAGACCGAGCGAATAAGTGATTGTATGCGTCCTTTTCGTATAAACAAGTCGTGCATTTCAAGGCTAAAGTGGTGGCGTTTCGGACTGCCAGAGTCCCGGGCACCACGAAGTCCCGCTGCCTTAAAACACTCAAGACACACGCACTCCTCAAAAGTACTCATTGTGGCCCAACAGATTAGCTTATATGTCAGGCCAGGGGCTTTTATACTCAGAAGTAGAGGATGCAAACAGTAAAAGGAAAAACAGGCGAAATGTGGGATTACTGGGATCCCAGCCCAGCAAAAACAAACAGAAAAAAAAAAAAAAAAAAAA